TGAGGTGTCATGGGCCCACCGAGCTATAAATAATTCACCCTTATGTTGCCAGTCCAGATCCACCTGAGCCACTTCAATCTTAGCAGCCTGATCCACCTGCTGGTTGTTTTGATGTTCTTCAGTGGCCCGACTTTTGGGTACGTCAGCATCTACGCGACGGACTTTTACAACCAGGTTCTCTACCCAGGCAGCAATATCTTGCTACAATGTGGCAGCCCAGATGGGTTTGCCTCCGTGCTGCTAATTGCTCCGCTTCCATTGCTGTAACCACCCCCATGTGACGTCATGCTCAGTACATAAACTGGGGAAAGCTGGCCGGGGGGGCGCCACTGCTCAGGGACTGGCTGGGCATCGGTCGGTGGGTGGTGAGCACTTGCATTGTGCATCACTTGCTTTGTATATTCTTCTTATTACTAGTAGTAGTAGTAGTAGTAGTAGTATTTTACTTTATTTCAATTATTAAACTGTTTTTATCTCAACCCACAAGTTTTCTCACTTTTACTCTTCCGATTCTCTCCCCCATCCCACCGGGTGTGTGGGGGGGGAGTGAGTGAGCTGCTGTGTGGTGCTCAGTTGCCAGCTGAGGTTAAACCACGACACCCACACACAGACAGCTGGGGAAACTGAGGCACGGGGTAAAGCACCCCCTCCGCCATCTCCATCCACATCCCCGAATGCGGAGAGACAATTGGAGCTCAGCTCGGTGCAAAGCAAGAAAAGTGCAAAAGGTGAGACAAAGGCTTGGGGGAACCCCCAGTGCCCCCTCAACAGACACCCTCACACCCAAATCCTTCTCCAGACGGCTGAAGGCACCAGCCCATGTCACCCTCGCCAGCCCTGGCACCAACTGAACCCCCTTCTTGTCCCCCACCCTGGGTGGGTGTTACAAGTGTGTCCCAGCCTGGATGGGGGAGGCATGGGGGGTCCCAGCCTGGACGAGGGGGGGGGAGGACACCCAAGAAGCATGGGAGGTACCAGCCTGGATGGGGTGACATGGCGGGTCCCAGCCTG